GGGGGACCCACGGCCAAGCGGCCCCGCGCCGGCCACTCTCGCCGCCGCGCGCGCTGGCAGCATTTGAACTTCTGACCTTCTGTCAACTTCCCTCAGACGAACGAAACGAAAACAAATACTTTTTTTTTCCTTAGGCAGCGGCCATTCCCGTTCCCGGCACAAAAGGACGGGGGAGGGGCAGCCACCGTGGGGGTGGGGTGGGCAGAGCCAGGCCAGGACTGAATCACGCACCCCGCACATGTCCCCTGAAAACGCGGTGGCTGGCGGGGCGCGCGGGCAGGCGCCCTGCGGGTTATCCTCTCCGGCCCGTCCTTCTTCCCGGCCTGGAAGAGTTGGGGCGCGGGTGCAGGACCGCTGGTGAGGGCCCCGGGGGTGAAGGGGTGAAGCAGGGAACGCCTCCCCGGCCACAGGAGGTTAGCGCTCCTCGGGGACCTGTTCACCCGCCGGCCCCGTTTAAAACCACCACCTAGACTCTGTTCTCAGGCGCGCGCGTCCCTCCTCCCGGGCTGGCCGTCCCTCCGCGTCTCTGCATGTCCCTGTCCCTCTAATGTGACTGCCGCCCAAGTCCCTCAACCATGGCAAGACCGTCCCCGGTGGAACTTTCAGAGCAGTTCTGGAACGCAGGAGCTCCTGGTTAATATTAACTCGGAGAGGGGGAAGCGCAGACAGACGCGCTCGGCCCGCAGGCGCGGGTGCCAGGCGCGGGTGCGGCGGCCGGGGGACTCCGGGGGCAGGAGGCGGCCGCGGGGACAGGGCCTGAGGGCCGCAGGAGGGACAGCCGGGGACGCCACGCCGAGTAGATTTCTGTGTGCGTGGCGGCCCGGCCCCGGCGCTCAGGTGTGGGTTTGAGGAGGCTGTTCCTGTTTGGACAGGAGGGGTCTGTTTTCCCGGAGTGGGGGGAGGGGGTGGAGACAGGTGTGTGGGGACTGGGGGGGGGTCTCTTTTGAAGTTGGGACACCCCTCCCCCGCACTGGCAAAGCCAGGCGGCCGCTGGCGGTGACAGTCCTGCTCGGGCTTCTGGGCGCGGGGCGGCTGCGAAGACTGCGGAGGAGGCGGGGGCTCAGGCGCGGGGAGCACCTTGGCCTCCGCCGACACAAAGCCCGGCCTGGCGGCCCCGCGGGGCTTTACGGTGGCTGCACCGAGCCGGGCTTGATTCGCGGCACACGACCCAGTGAATTGCTAACCGGCCTGGGCTTCCCGGCTGTGCCTGCGCCTCTCCGGCCCGCCGGGCGCACGGCGTCCTGCAGGCGCGGGCCAAGGCCGCGCCACGCCTGGGGGAGCCGGGGGAGGGCGCGTGGCGAGCGGGGCGCCGCTCGGGCCTGGCTCGGCCTGGGGCTCCCCGCCTGGGGCCCTCCACCTCGTGCCCGAGTGGCGCAGCTCCGGGCGCCGGGGGCTGGTACGTGGCCTCTCCATCCCGCCCTCCGCTCGCCAGCAGCCCCGTGGGAAGCTGTGGAAGCTTCGTGTGAGCCCCCAAAAGAAGGGAGCCGAGGTGGCGCGGGGCTCGGGCTGCGGGCTGTGTGCTGTGTGCGTGTGCGTGTCGGCGGTGTGCGCCTGCGCAGCCGGCCTCCCAGCCCGGCTCTAAACTGACCCTGGTTTACTGATTGATTTTCATGTAAAACGCGTTCAATCCTCAAGATGACCTCACTCAAACTCTGCCCTTCCGACTTTTGTTATTATTATTATTATTATTAAAGAAAATTGCTGGCAGGCCCAGAAACCTTGTCAGCGCTGACCGGTTAGCAGGGCCGCCCCCAAGCCCCCTACCGCCCCCCCCCCCATTTCTTGTACGTTTAACTCTACAACCATATTACTGGTTTTTATTGCTGTCCAACACACAGGACTTTTCCTGTTGCGCAATCCTCACATCCCCGCAAAGCCAAAGCGCGGACAGCAGTACTTGCAAGAGCTCCCCGCCGGCTCGCTAGGAAAACAGTCCCCAAGCTGCTATTAGGATCCTCGACCGGGTCTTCCGTCCACCCCGCTCACCAGGTTCCAAAGCCGAGCATGCGCGGCCTGCCCGAGATCAGCCCTACCCTCTGGGGGAGGTCAACTTGAAATTGCCCCTCACCCCCGGGGTCTGTCTCTCCTGGGGATGCCCCTTGGTGATCCTGTCACCATTTCCCCTCGTTTGAATCCCACACCCCACCATCACTGTAAACGCCCGGGTAGTGAGTTAGTACACGCACGCACACTTGCCACGGCTCAGTTTTTTCTTGCATCCTTCTCTGAATGTGACCTGAGAATTATGAGGGGCTCCCCCAACCCCGAGCTCCACTTCGCCCTGGTCTGTGTCCTGCCCATTCAGTGCTTCTTCACTGCCACGGCACAGGCAGCTTCCTCGTGGGTGCGGTGGGGGGTACTCCTGAAGGGCTCCGAGGCCTCGGGCCTCTCTGGCTCCCCATCCCCCACCCCTCACGCCCCGCCCCCTCCTTCCACCTCTTAAGTTTGCTCTTCAAACTTGCAGGACGCCATTCTGTTCTGGGGCCAAGAAAACAAGAGGGGGGAAGGGAACAGTTTAAGGAAAACAAGAGACACAATCAGACCACAGAAAAGCCGGAGAAAAGAGGTCTATGGAGAAAAGGAATGTGGCTGTCCAGATAAAGAATGTTTGTCGTCAGGCCTGGCCCGCATTGAAAATTATAACTCACCTGCTTGCCTTTCACTCCGGCCCCCTCCAGCCCCTTCCGCGTGGCTATCAGCTTCCCACCTCCCTCTCGCCCTTTGGCTGGATCCAGGGCTCAGAGAGGCCCAGGGTAGGAGGGAAGGTCCAGAGATAACCCAAGGCTTTTCACTCTTTAAGAAGCATACCGCCTGTGTTCTTTATTTCTGCAAAGTTGCACCCTGGGCCTCTCTCCAGCCTCCTGGTGAGGGAGTTAGGCCAGGCACAAGGGTGGAGCCTTGCAGGTGTGGAGAAATGGGGCCACGGAAAGGGATGGGGGGGGAGTGGAGGGCATCGTAGGGGAGGAGTGAGCCATCCCCCCGGGGGGCCCTGGCAGGCCCTGCAGTTACTGTCTGAGACGCACACAAGTTTAAAGGATGTCCTCTTCGTCTCGGGCCACGGTAGGGGCTCTGTTAGGTCAGATTTTGGAGAAAGGCCCTGGGCTCATCTGCAAGACGACTGGCTCCTCCAGCAGACGCCACAGCCCCCTCGCACCTCAGCGCACGTCCAGGCCTTGTCCCCGGCTTGTCCACAGAGCGCTTATCCGCAGGGGCTGGGCCGGGCAGCCGAGGCAAGGGCAGGGACGGGTGGCAGGCCCAGTACTAACATCTGCGGGGGCCCCCTTCTTTCCGCAGAGGTGTAAGGACAAGCTGAACGCCTTGGCCATCTCGGTGATGAACCAGTGGCCCGGTGTGAAGCTGCGGGTGACCGAGGGCTGGGACGAAGACGGCCACCACTCAGAGGAGTCGCTGCACTACGAGGGCCGTGCGGTGGACATCACCACGTCCGACCGCGACCGGGGCAAGTACGGCATGTTGGCGCGCCTGGCCGTGGAGGCTGGCTTCGACTGGGTGTACTACGAGTCCAAAGCGCACATCCACTGCTCCGTGAAAGCAGGTGAGGTGGCAGGCCCGGCCTCCTCCACGGCCCCTGTGCCCACGAAGCCCCCCGACCCACCTGGCAGCTCCACATCTGCCCGTGAGAGGTCACCATGGCGCCCGGCAGTGGGATTCAAGGGAAAGAGGCAAATGTGTGCAGGTGGGGGGAGGCAGGAGGGGCAGGAGGGGCAGGGAGGGAGCGAACTGGGTGATGACTCGTGTCTCTGGTGTGGGAACACAGCCTGTAGACGTAGGGCCCGCCCGCCGGGAATCGGCCCTACCTTTGAGGTGCTCCGGGCCCAGATGCAGAGGGCATATGGCTTCCTGAGCTGCCCCGACCCTGTTTCCGGAGCCCCCACTGCAGGTGGCGGAGACAGGGAAGACGGGGGAGGGAACGTTCCTGGTGCACTGGTAGCCAGGTCTGGCCTAGATTCTTCCTCTCATTTCAGGCTTAAGAATCAACCAGCCCCTACTCAACTCCCCAGCACAGGAGGTTCTGCCCAGGGTGTAAGCTCCTGGTCCTCTCTCCTCCCCACTGAGCGTCTGTGGACACTAAACTAACTTAACTCGCTGGCTAAGCCTTTGGGGAGAGGCCTGGTGGGAGGTAATAAACACAGTGGTTACCGCTTCCAGCATCTGGAGGCCGCAAGCCCAGAAGCATCCGTCCTTATTAGGAGCCAGCTGGGCTGCCCCGAGCCACAGGCAGGGCCAGGAGGCCGATGGGAGTCTGCAGCTGCAGGCGGCCCATCCATGGGCTGGTGACTTCCCTGGGCCTACAACGCCACACGCTGTCGCTGTCGAGGAACAGCCATGCCGCGGAAGGCGCTGTACCCACGGCTTATAGCCCAGCTCCGAGGTCATTTATGCGGATCTCTCCACCTCCCCGCAGAAGCTGATGCATTTAGCAGAACAGTTCACAGTAAATTTCGGAGGAACTGTGTCTTCCCCGCCCCCGCCCCCCGAGTTTTGCCTATTTGTCTCCTAAACTGTATTTTAGTAGCATGTGTTAGTAGAAAAACACTTTCAAGGTGTCAAGACACAGTTCATAGGGAGGGAAAATAGTGGCTTCTTATCACAACAGAAAGAAAACGTGTGGAAAGGGCAGTGGGGGGGTGCTGGGCTTGTAGCCAGAGACAGGGAGGACGGGCAGGCGGCGCCCGCACTTCTCGGGGCTCCGCTGCGGAAGGCCCGGGGGCGCACCCTTCCCGGGACCTTGCGGTTGCGCTCGAGGGGCGTTCGGCCCCCTCCTGGGCCAGCCCTGTCCCCGGGGTCCCCCTGGCGGGGGTCCCTAGAGGTCTTCTTGCAAGTGAGCAGCGGTAATCCCGCAGCAGGATTCCGCCCAGGGAGGGCAGACCCCCAGGGCGCGGAGAGCCGCTCATTGGCATTCGGCGCACACGGGCCGGGGCGCGGTGCGTTGCGTGTCAAGCAGGGTTGTGCGACTCGACGACTCGGGCTCGCCTGTGCCCCAGGTCGCATTCCGGGGGCGACGGCGGGCCTCCAACGGCCAGGCCCGCACTTCATGCCGCAGAAACCGATGAGAAGATTAAAAACCCTCTGTAATTCCAGCAGGAAGATTCTTTCTCGCGATCTCTATTTGCAAAAAGCATGATCCCGGAGATTGGAATGCAAAGAAGACCGGGCTCTCCCCGCCCCTCCTCCGCGGCCCCCTGCTCGCCACCCTGGCTCCGATCATTGTCCTCGGGACAGTGAGCCTCAGAGAGCGACAGAGGGCTCGGGAAAGCGGGTAGTCAAGGGGCCTTGAGAACCCGGCCGCTTCCAGTGCTTGGAGCAGGCCCCGCCATTTAAAATTCAAATACACATCTTGAGTGCTTGGAAGAGGCCTGGCTGTGCAAATAGTGCTTGTGAGGCCCGGGCTTCTGGAGAGCCCGCGTGTGAATCGCAGGGGGGCTGGGGGGGGGTGCACCTGAGCAAATAGGGAGGGGGCAGCTGAGAAAGGGGAGGGGGGGAAATGGAAGTGGCCCCTCTTCCAAGAGTGTCTCCCATTTATTGCGGAGATCACAATGACAATGCTGGGCCCTTTATTGGATTTTAATTAGAAAATCCACACAAGCCCCGGATTTTCACACCTCGGCCAATTCCCTGGAATGTTTGTCCAGTTGCTACAACTACTACAGCTATTTTCCACTCCCGCCCCTCTCTCAAGCCCCTGCAACGGGCCGGCACCAAGGCCCCCCTGCTGGGCTGCGCGCTGGGGGCGGGCAGGCGAGGGGTTCCCGCCGCGCAGCCCCGGTGCGGGGCGCACGAGGGGGGGGCCGCACCCCGCGCCGGGGGCGGGAAGAAAGGAGGTGCGCCCCGGCGCCCGAGGGAGCTCAAGGAGGCTTCCTGAGGAATCTAAGTGCAGAGCAAATACCCTGCGAATTCAGGGCGAGGTTGGGTGTGTGCTGAGCCGGGGGATGGGGTGGGAGGAAGGCGGAAGGGAAGGAGTGTAGCCGGCCTCCCGCCGGAGACGCCAGCCAACCTTTGTCACTGCCAGTCCAATCCTAAGAGAGTCGTTAAGGAATGTATCTGCATCTGAATTTTGTCACCGAGACGGTGGGGCTGGGGGAGAGAGGTCTGCGCTGGGCCAGCCGGGGGACTCTCTCCCCGGAGCTGCGCGTGTCCCAAGTCTGGTGCGCGGGACGGCAGGCGTGCGCCCCCTGCCCCACTTGTGCCTCCCTGTGGGCGCTCACCACCCTGTCCCCTCTTCTCTCCCTTCTCCAACCCCCGCAGAGAATTCGGTAGCGGCCAAGTCCGGCGGCTGCTTCCCGGGCTCGGCCACGGTGCACCTGGAGCAGGGCGGCACCAAGCTGGTGAAAGACCTGCGTCCCGGGGACCGCGTGCTGGCGGCCGACGACCAGGGCCGACTGCTCTACAGCGACTTCCTCACCTTCCTGGACCGCGACGATGGTGCCAAGAAGGTCTTCTACGTGATCGAGACGCGGGAGCCGCGCGAGCGCTTGCTGCTCACCGCCGCGCACCTGCTGTTCGTCGCGCCGCACAACGACTCGGCGGCCGGGGAGCCGGAG